ATTTATAGTCGGACACAACTCGATCTCTCTTGTGTAATATTTGTCACTCGCGATCCATGTCAACTCCGTGAATCGCTGATTGAAACTAATGTAATATTGCACGCATTCCTCGCAATCCGATTCTTTGATTCGATCGCGTCTTTGATTAACGTCTTTGCTCGTGACACGAGGCAATTCTCTCTCTCTCTCTCTCTCTCTCTCTCTCTCTCTCATTTCTTTATATCTGTGGATCTGAGACTATTATTTGTTGACGACGTTGACGTCATTAGGATTCTAATAATCGGCAGCGATTGTCGAACTGAGACCGAGTTGAAATTCCAAGAAAGATGTGACAGAGCGCATGTTTCTTTATTACGGAATACGGATACGGACACATATGCTTAACTATGCTTCGTCATGACGATTCTTTTTTCTCCCGCCTCTCATCTCGAATCGTCACGTCTCTCGCCTAGCCCTAGCTTAACGTCTCCTATGTCTCGTATTACGCATCTGTTACGCTACCTAACGTTATCATTGCGTTGCGTGGGCGCAACCTTACGTAAACGATCGACGTATTGTGTGCTAGGAAAAACACGAGAGATAGAACGTTACGATGATATTCAATAACAACACACTCTCGAGTCCCATATACATACATATAATAGTATTTTTGTAAAAATGTATTCGTGTATTATTATTCGTATATTAACATGTATAAACAAAAGGTAGTATAAAGGTAGTATAAAAGAAGGGCAAAGAGGCAATAACGTATAAAAGAATTATAATTTAAATAAGCAAAACTAATACAAAACAATTAAAATAAAATAAAACAAACGTTTCAACTCCAATCGAGTCATTTTCAATGCAATCTTACAATAATATAAATATCGTTTTAAATTAAAAATTCGGACGTAATCTTACAATTCCTTAATATAAAATTTCTTCTTTCTGTGTAATACGCTGCGAGTCATGTTTATCAAGAATTAACAAAGTCATAAGAAAATTCTTAGTAAATCTGTTAAGAGTCCAATGATACGCAACGAGAAAAAAATGTAAAATGTGGTCCATTTCGTGGTACAATAAAATAGTCTTTTTAATTTAATAAGTTATTATAAGCAAATTCGCAAAGGTAACAAGCATCTGACTTACACGATGTCAAAAAACGAAATCATTTCAGATTATGTACGAATTTTTTAATTTAAAACGATATTTATATTATCGTAAGATTGCATTGAAAATGACTCGATTGGAGTTGAAACGTTTGTTTTATTTTATTTTAATTGTTTTGTATTAGTTTTGCTTATTTAAATTATAATTCTTTTATACGTTATTGGCTCTTTGACCTTCTTTTATACTATCTTTTGTTTATAAGTACAGAGCCTTTTTTATTACTTTTAATCGTATATTATAGTTATAGACGTACATTCGTACAATTACAATTCCAATAAAAAATTGTTTACGTTGAAGATACGTAAGATAGACGTTCTAGGCTGGGTGTTCCAAATTTACTGATTTCAGCACTGAAATCTATAATTATTGTGCGTTATGTGCACTATAATTTTCAATATTAGTAGTTAATTTTAGGAAGCAGCCCAATTCTCACACGCTACAGCGTACATGATCATTCGATAACTCTCATTCTTATCAAAATGAACCGGAAATATAATAGGTCATATCTATATATTACTGCGTGACACTGCGTCGTATAGCGCCGAAATGCTTCATTATCTTTATATGCAGTAGATGCGTCTCGTATGCGATGCGTACGTATAATGCTTCATAAGATATTGTTAATCTATCTTGAACACGCATTGGTGAATTGGAATATATAAAATAGAGGAAGGAGGTAGCGATCTCATTTGACAAACTGCGTAGTCTACCATAGTTTCTTTCCGGAAGCGAAATGACGCAATTGGGATCTTGGTCATATAGGTCACAAGTCACGTACGCCTTGAGTTCCACACACTCCTTATAAAAGGAGATCCCTTAATTCTTTGCTCCAATCGATTGCGAGAATATCTACTTGCAATTAATTACAATTAATTAAGCGATGAAGAAACAAATCTGTCACAGTTACCTAAAGAGAAAAGTTTAAAATAAAAAACAGACTCGATGCGTAAAATATACGAGAGAAACATAGAGCGATGAGATGAAACTAATCACTAAACTAATCGTTTTGGGGTTGACATTTTACAATTCTCCCGCAATCTCTATAGGCACCTATATGTATATGTGTGTGTGTGTGTGTGTGTGTGTGTGCGTGCGCGCGCGCGTGCGTGCGTGCGTGCGTGTAAGAGTGTCGACGCACGCTATTCAAGTACCATACTTGTTGTTACTATTACTATCTTTCGATCTCGTCGCGCAGCGACTAGCTTTCAGCTTCCAAATTTATTATTTATATATTATTTATAATATATCATCTATATCATATTGCACATACTCATTGTATTATATACACTAGGCAGTTATGGTATAAGTTTACAAGGAATTAGATGAGTGTGCATTGGAGTGAAGAAATTGGATGATTTACCATACACATATGATTGCCGAAAATTTACATTGACATACGACACATATGTACGCCGTGCCACGCTGCGCTGAATTCATGATGTAATGCGTCGCCTATGAGGTGACATAAGCGATCAATTGTCCTGCCATTGGTCGAGAGATCGACAGGCCTCCGTCGAGCCTCTATATACATTCTCTGACTCACGTTACATACATACATACAAGTACAAGTGCGGTATAATGTGTTATCAATCCAAGCGAGATGGCAAGAAGAGGGCAACTAAAGAGCGTTTTGTGGAGGAGAGCGCGGGACCTTTCTTATTCGATATAGTCGAGCGTTAACGTATCACGTACGTACTCGATACGCCGTTTACAGCGTATGGCAATCATACGGCGCTGCATCGATGCAGCGTGACTGAGAAATTGATGGAAATTGAGGATTGCCTGTGCAATCCTCGATGGCTCGATCTATAGATCTCGACTCGAACGGCACGTCCGAGAGCGTGACCTATGACGAATACATATTCTACCGTCGATTGGTTAAATTAAAAGAATAGGGAAAATTGTCAACGCGCGCGATGAAGAAATTTGTTTGTGCTTTACAAAGCTGGGCTTGAGTTCATTATTGCTGAAAAATATCTTAATAACGGCAGAATAACGAGACGATTGTTTCAATGTCAAAGTGGAAATGTTCAAGATCAATATTTTAGATGCTCGAATCCAGAGATTTCATTTATATATACGGATTATTGCTTAGCTTTTTGAAGAGAAAATTCAGTTGTAACTCTTTGTCGAAAGATTTTCATTTGGTACGTGGGTGTAACGAGTTGGAAGAGAGAATTAAATTGAATTGAAAAATCAAGTCATGCGCGCGCATAAATATGTTTAATATCGCTTATTGCGGCTAAAATACTTAACAGTGTCGTCGAGGCATTATTTCGTCTATTTTACATCTTAATATATCTACATCGAGTTACTTCTACAAAAATTTATTAGTACGCCGTACGCGCGCGCGTACTAATATGAAACTTGAAACTGTTATACGTAAACAGAGCTACTCGCTTGTTTGAATTTCGTTTATCTAAGCGATAATGCGTGTATTTTAATACGCATTAAAAATCTCTTCGTTGTATATTGTTTATTCTAGATTCCCACACTTTTTTCGTCCACAAGCTTTGCTATGTGCTATCTGACAGTTTATCAAGTGATATTACATCAGACGCGCGATCTAATATAGCAGGCATAAGGCATAAGGCATAAGGCATAAGGCATAAGGCATCAAAGCGCGCATTTAGAAACGCCGCGCTACTCTACTGACGACGCACATGTTTTAATTTTCCACACCTTTTCCCTCCTTTGTTCCTTTCTTACTCCCTCTAGTTGATCGATTATATTATTATTATTATTAGTGTTGAACGAATCTGTCTTGATCGTTTACCCTGTACATTTTCTAAAAGTGAGAGAAATATACTGAATCGTCAATAATTATCTATGTGTATATATCTATGTGTCAAAATAATTTACGTGTGGGAGTGAAATAATTTTTTAATAATTTTTTTTATTAAAGCGCAAAACGAGCAATGTACGTTATACTAAGTACGAGTACTATGTTATTGACAAGTCGAGAGTCGCACTCTTATCAAAGATTCTCTTAGAAGATTGTAAATTTTTAATAATGAATAATAATGGATGATGAGAGATGAAATTTTTGATCGGCAAAATGGCAAGAGGATCGAACAAATACCTAATTGAAATAGTACGTTATTATAATATTATTATTATAATCGAAGGCGTTTGTAATGGAAAATGAAATGATTATTGTGTCTGGGTATGGAAAAGATCGGGAAGAACTTTGTAAGAAGTTTGCAAAGTGTGTAAGTTAAATAGATCCTCTCATCTCATCATACGGATCGTATGAGAAACGAATGCAAAAAGCAGGCCAGTAGCCAGCAGCGCGCAGCGTCAAAGAGATGCGCGCGCGCGCGCGCGCGCGCGTTAGAAAACACCTCGTTTTCCCCGCCATTGAGGCACGTGCTTCACGTACGTTACATGCACGCGCGTGCACCCTCTCTCTCTCTCTCTCTCTCTCTCTCTCTCTCTCTTTCTCTCTCGAGATTAGCAAGATCTATCGATCTTGCTAATTGTAAGGCTAGCGACGAAAGATCGCGTAATTGTCCTATTACACGCATTCGTCGCTTGTTTGTTATTATATTATTGTTGTGTTGTTACTTGGACTACTACTTGTGTTGTTATTTGGACTACTATTACTACTACTACTACTACTACTACTACTACTACTACTAGTACTACTGCCATTATTGTTATTGTTATTACAGTATAGTTGCACTGCAATTATTAACGTCTAAGCGTAGTTTCCCTCTCTTCTTTTTTCTCGTTATTAGTCTCCCTCTCCGTTTCTCACTCTCTTCCTCTCTTTCCTTGTTTCTCTCTCTGCCTAAATCTTTTTCCCCTCCCTCGGCTAGCCCAGCCTATATAAACCCCCGGTGACTCGAAAGCATCTTCACTCTATACGAGAAGACAGTCTATGTATAAAGTTCCGAAGACGCGTATATAACTCGGTCATTGAAAGAGAGAGAGCGCGCGGGCGCGTACATCCTGAACTGGTACTGACCAACTGTGGTACTGACGATATCTCGAAAAGTGGGAAGAAAAGACTAAAATTAAAGAGCATCCCCGACGCGTGGAAACCCGCGACCTTTCCCTGATCTCATCTTTTTGGGTTTGGGGTTTAACATCGTCGAATCGTCACATTTCTCGCTGCATTTCCTCCCGCATTATACGTTAACATCCCCGTTTGAGAAACTTGTCTGCAATTTCTCGAAGGAAACTGCGTACCGAGTCCGTTTCATTTCGCGCCGCTTGATCACGCACGCTCACAGTGTGCTGTGCACGCTCACGTATCTGAACGCGCGCGTGCAATTTCAACTGACACTTTGACGTGTCGACGCAACGACGTGCATGAGGATCGAAGACGAGAACGGACTAAGATATACTTTGCGGGCGATAATTTAATATATATATATATATACACACACACCTACGTATATATACGTAAATTCGGAAGGCAAGTTTGCGATCATCTCCGAGAGTCATCTCGACGTACATCGCCTTATACGTACAAATGGAAATGCAGTCGAATTCACCGCGCGCGAAAGCGAAAACCAGTTGTCACAACGTGAGAATATTCCTTGTCGTCACCCTCGCTGTTACATTATGCTACCCAGCTCTCATCGATACGGCGGTGGTCCGTTCCGAGGTAAGATACTTATTGCACTATATCACGTATTACGTATGTATTAGTCAAAGAAATGAATGTATGTGAATGAAAATTAAATCTGGTGAATCCAGTTTGCGCTACAACTTTGCTATTCATTGATGAGAGAGAGAGAGAGAGTGGGTGAGGAGGGGTAGAGAACAAATTGCAAGTTTTTGGTAAAGAAAAAGTGATCTGATCACTGAGTCGTTGAAACGGAATTAATTAGTCGTATTGTGGTTATGATTCGCGCCTTTCTACGAAACACATCAAATAGAGGGAAGCAATGTTACGCGAGGATCTTTTTCTCACGAAATATCGATCGTAAAGTTTCCTTTACACCCTCAGCGCTCACACTTCATGTATGTACACACACGTACATACATTCTGGCTGTGATGTATTATTATTAGGATGCATTTTGTAAATAATATATATAAAGACGCATATACACATGTAATGAAATTGAACGAATCAATCGATATTTCAGAAAACGCCACAAGATTGATCGAACGGTACGTAAGCCGATGTAATTTCATTTTTATACTCTGCGTAGAGTATACAGTTATCAGATTCTATTCTGTTTGTATTACTTACAATAGATTCAACAAATGATTTCTCTGTAGTGATGCATGTATTATATATGCGCGCGTATACATGTGTGTGTGTGTGTGTGTGTGTGTATGTGTGTGTAGTACGTACGTACATTATCGACATGCAGACTCACTGGCGATTCGAGTAGTTTCATTCATGAATCGAATCTCTCTCGAGTCACGACTCACGGCCTCGAGAATGCCATGCTTGTCTTCTTTCGCGATGCGAGAACCACTCGCTATTTGATAAATTTTAAATTGAATCGAATGATATAGGCGATTCGTTGTGACTTTACAATCGTTCTAAATCCCATAATAGCTACGAGTGCATCGCAGAACGTCGGAGGAAATCGCAATGAGATCATATGACGAATTCCTGAAAAGATGCAAAGTCTAGCAATTTAATTATAGACGACTCTATATGTATATATATATATATATATATATATATATATATATATATATATGGAGCACACAATTCTGTCGTTCATTTTATAATTTTATAACTATCTAAGAGAAAAAACTCTGAGTCACTCGCATGTTTGTTTGTTACTTATCAATTTAACATTGCATTGTTATTCGTAATTGCGCGATTGTATTAATGTTCCTCTTCTTTCCAGTAAACGCAAAAGTGTACATACGTCCATCATTTGATTTTGAGACATGCGTTACGTGATCGAAAACCATGTTAGTTGTGTACATACTTGCATTTACAAAATTTTTCCTAATTACTCGGTCGCATCGAAAGAGAAATAACGATGAAAGATTTTAGAACAAGACGATATAAAATAACATCACACGAGGCAGTATCACGCTTGACACGAGAGGGGCTATCGAGTCTGCTTGTAGATATAACGTGATAGATATTAGCGACTCTTCATTCAAGGAATGACGTTTGCCCATTATTTACTGTCTTGAGCGGTTAACGTCACTGCAGCAACGTGCGTCACTGCGCAGCATCTTTCTCCTCTCCTTCTTTTTCTCGCTCCTGCGGTTCGCGGTTTCCGTTGCCAGAAATGCACGAGATTTCGCAATATCCAAATGCGTTAGGTTCTTAACGCAAAATTTATCAAAGTCGTCGCGTCGGGTCGGGAGTCCAAGTTTTTTTTTCTATTTTACTATTTAATTTCCTTTGAAATTAATTTACACGTCACGTAAAAATTTATATACGATTGCAATAATCAACTGCAATTATAGATATATATATATCTATTTGTAATGCCATGTGTGTACGCACGCGCGTATACATATATGTACATGCACGTATTATGGCATATATCAACTATATGCGATTGATAACTCTTGAGCTATAAGAATATTGTTACTGAATAAAGAAAAAAAATGTGATTTTTTTTCATCTTTTGACATTTTTGCGAGTGTATAAGAATTTACGAAATTATGTAAAAAGACTTGAGAGTGTTTGAGATGACTGTTTGAATTGGAATGAGAAAATGATACGAAAAATACTTGATATATTTATTAAAAGTTGTTATCAAAGAAAATTAAAGTCACGCTTGCTACGACGTGTGTGTTTTTTCCTCAAATTACCGATTTTGTAGGAAATGGAAAACTTGTATAATAATTTTATATGCTTTTGAGTAAAAAGCAATAACGCGCGGTAGTCGTTAGTATCTACATACATACATATATGATGTATACCTGATGGTCGATCAAGTCTAGGGGCCCATAATTAATAACTGAATCGTCAAATAAATTGTATACACTACTGTTGAATAAATTGTTAAATTAACTTATTGTCGCACTAAAAAAGAACGTACGAAACGATGCGATGATATTTGTATATGCGACCAATACGTTAGAGAGATTACAACTATAATTAGAGACGAGGTTACTCTCGAGATGCTAGAAACTTTTGTATTTATACGTTTTTATTCACATAAAAGCTGAGCTACATATATATTTAATTGAAAATTAATGCTTTCCGTACGTGCGCGCTAAGGAAAATAAAAGATGATCAAGTCGTAATGTGAATATGTTTCTAATAATAATAATAATAATAACAACAACAACAATACAGTTTGATGTGTTTAATTACAGAAACAGTTGCAGCGGGTACTGTTACGAGACTTTACAAACGTCAGGATTCCACGAGCTACAGAAGATAGCGATGAGGAAAACGCACCGAGACGAATTTGTCATAACGCACCCTGTGGATGGGCGGTCTACAATCCATATACGCGTAACATTGAGTATTTCATGAGAAACACGTGAGTGTGTGTTACTACTACAGTATTACACGTGTATATATGTACATGTATATATATATATATTTTTTATATGTATTACTTTTATATTAATTGTAAGATAATGTTAAAAGCATTCCGATATGCGCATCTCCTCTCGAGAACAGATATAAAGATGAAATTTAATTTATCGAAAAATAACCATCCTTTTAAATGTAAAACTTGAAAATTATAAAACATGAGAGAAAATATTTTATTAGATACAGATAGAGCGTGGATGGACAAGTTTGCGAGATATATGAAAATTAATATTACGTAGGCGTATAAGAGGGAAGATTGCGCGAATTATTTACAATTCCTTGTATATCCATATTTCTTTTCACTTGATTTCTCTCTCTCTCTCTCTCTCTCTCCCTTTCTACAATAATTTCTTCTCATTTGATTTGTACAGTTGTGAATGCCCGGATGAAAGTTACAAGTGCGTGCGCGTTGGAGACGATCTCTCCGCGAGTGCGTACGTATATCGTTGTCGCCAAAATACGACAGCGGAGGACATTGAGTCTCCCTCTCTCGATGACACCCTCTGAGACGAGGTCGGCATCTCATTATCTCGTCATCGGTATCTACTTATACCACGTGTCACACCAAACCTGCAGTTACCGCCATCAAAAATGTCGTCTTGGTCGTCGTCGTTGTCGTCGTCTTCGTCGTGGGCGTGATCGTCTTCACGATTCGTCGCATGACTCTAGCTCTTCGAGTTTTCGATAATACATCCGTACCGTACATTTTAAATGAAAGTGACCTGCACCATACCATTTTTTGTTTTGTTACAAAGAAGATTGTGATCGAACGATTGTTACTCGCGATCGTGCTAAAGTGATCCTTATCATATTTGTATATTGTCAGAAATTGGAATTATTACAAGTATAAACGGCGCACTACCACCAGGTGCGACAGCCTGGCCATGCGATAGTGAATTTCCTTCCAATTGTCGGCTGGATTAACAATTTTACAATCGGGAATAAACTTTTAATGCGATGCGCGCGCGCGCGCACACACACACACACACGCACGCACGCACGCACGCACGCACGCGCGCGCGCACACACACACACACACATGTACATACATATGTATGTACATGTGTGTGTGTGTGTGTGTGCGTGCGTGCGTGCGTGTGTGTGTGTGTGTGCGCGCGCGCGCGCGCGCACACACACACACACACACACACACACACACATGTACATACATATGTATGTAAAAAATTACATGTTATTGCTATAGTTTTTGACATGATTAAATTTACAACATGATTAAATTTTCCAATTCTTGGAAACTCGCGTGCTTCGTCGACGTTTGTCGCGTATATGATTGAAAACTATAACGAATAGCGGCAATTAAAATCAATCAATTCATATCGAGCCTTGTGGTTTACATATGTGTAATGTATTTAAACTTTCATACTCATATATGTATATCGATTCAAATGCGTCTTCGAGAATCGATTTACGTGTAAAACATATCACAATGATGTCACATCATAATCTTAAAAATTCTCGCTTACTTTTGGTTTACTCCCAACATGTAAAATTGTTAAATTGTTTATATTATTACATTTAGCCAAAAAGTAGTTACTCAGCCATTGATCAAATACAAATTTCGATCCTCATATTTGATTTGGCAGAAAGCATAAAATCAAATGCATCAATCATTTGATGCATTTGATTTTACGCTTGATGAATACGGGCCTTTGACAACATTCGCGATAGCACTTTCCTTACATTTTCTTACCTTTCTTTGTACTTAACCAAATATCCAAAAAATAATTCTCTTTTTTCATATAATAATAGTTGTAATAGTAGTAGTAGTAGTATAGTAGTAGTAGTAGAGTAGTAGCAGCAGCAGTAGTATCGTAGCGATAATAATAATAATAATAATGATAATAATAATAATAATAATTTGATAATATATTATTTATAATGAGAAAACTTATTACGGTCGCTTTATCTGCTACTTGACAATCGTGCAAGTGTTGATATATAAATACAAATATGATTGCAAGTTATTTTATCCGTGACCTTTAGCTTTAATCACACGGGCAAAGTTGTCGAGCTACAAAAGTCGTGAACAAAGCAGATCGTAAGCCGAATGTAGCATCGTATCGTACAATCCTTCAAGCATAATAAAGAGTGAAAATGAATCAAATGTGAATCAAATTACACTACAACGTATGGATGACTGTGTACGTAATGAAAAATTTTGCATGTAAAGTGACATTACCGTTTTTGGTTGATCCACACATTTGGACATAATTCTCTTGAAAGCTATATTACCGACATATACAATATCTTTACGAATATTTTATAGATAACGTTAACGTGAAAACATTCAATTCGAGATTCAAAGCATGCCATAAAGTAAATTTCTCTATAGTATCGGTACGTTTAGGTCTCAATCTCGACATGCAGCTGAGACCTCACAGTTTTTTTTTAATCCGGCTACAACTTTAATCAGTGGCACTTTAATTAGTGCCAAGTAAACGTGCCTAACAATAAGAAATAGATCAAGTATTTCAGTTTGTTGTATTCATAACGCAGTATTTCACTTGTTATGTAACATACAGGAAATGTAAGTTATCTATTATTACGATGAAATATTGATATATTATTGCATAACTATTAATATAATATTGTCTAATTTTATCATTTTTAATATAATAAAACAAAGTTGTAATACTTTTTACGATTTTTCATTTAGCATTATCTCTCCTCGATATCATATCGCGTATTCTTGCAGAAATAAAGTCTGAGAACAATGAAAAGTACAATCAAGTGTAAATAATTTTTTACTGTTTATTTATTACAGAGGGGACAGAGGGCGGGGCGCTCGAGGACGACACCACAAGCTCTTATCGGCACAAATTCCATCGACACGATCTCAGGCTTAAATCGGTTCACCGATTTTGCAAACAAAAATATATTTAAACGGATATTTTGAAAAAAAGTTACGATACAAGCATATATATAAGAGGAAGAGCAAACCAAGTTGTACACATATGTGTATACGGATAGTTATGGAAAAAATTATCGACTAAAGTAAAACGATAGCTTTTCACTAATTAGTTTATTAATAATTTGTGTGCAAAATATATATCAACATTAAATTATTATTTCGAGTAGTAAAATTGCCTGTACATTTTTATTTTTCATACACATATTTTAAAAAATTAGCAATTTTTTTGTAAAATACAATAATATATAGTCAGAAGTCATCAGATATCAGGAAGACCACACTTTTCATTCTCGCCTTCTCTCTCTCTCTCTCTCTCTCTCTCTCTCTCTCTCTCTCTTATTTGGTGTTGAGCTATTAATTGACCGGATAGAAAAATAATGTACAAAGAAAGAAAAAATAAATGGCGATATGTTTGGTTTAAATTTGTTGACAATTTATATGAAATACAAAAAACGGATGCGTTATGGCTATCGTTATGACATTTTAATTTAAAGCAAAAACTATTGAAAACTAATCAAGGTATCGTGAAACGTCTCCAAATAAATTGTCAATTTATCTTGGATTGAACATTTCACCATTTATTTTATTCATACTACTTTATTTTATCCATTCTCTCTCTTATTTTCTGCTTTTATTTTTTCTTTTCCTCTTATTTGTCCTCCCTTCTCTCTGCTTCCTTTCTATTTACTTCGCTTGTGAGGAAATGCTTCAATAAATATACAACCACAGTGTCGTATTATGAAAATTACGGTATGTATAATATATATTACGACGTACATTATATTATATTATAATTAAATATTTATCTTATATCCTTTTTTGGCTATCTTATCCCCTAAGTGTTTCATCGACGATATAACATACATATAGTTACCATACAGATGTGTTCCGAGAGTTGACAAAAATATGACAAATGAACGAGACAATCGCATTCTTTATTAATTTATTAATTGTTGATCGTTTATCACACGGCATTCGTGTAACGGACGTGATCATTTTGTTCCCAAATATGAACCACGCACGAACTTTTCTTGAATCTTGTTTTACTAAAAAGAAACAAACTATGTGGCGATTGACGTAATTAGGAGCAAGTCCATTAACGTCCACCTATGTACATACAATAATGTACTACTTCATTGACGACTGTTATCACATTTCAATTTGCAGATCATACACTAGATTTAAGAATGTGCTGTAAAATATATACTATTGAGAAATCGCATTTTATATTACATTGATATTATACGCTACAAAATAGATATAACAATAACCAGGCATATATACGATCGTGCGTGGTGCGTGCACGTGTGGAGGTCAATGACTTTCCGGCGAAATTTTTTATGCCGCATAAACTTCCAGCACGCTCGATTCTATCGCACTCTGTCCAGGAACATTACCGTTTTTACACCTTTGTAAAGATGATTCTACACGTTACAAAGCCTGGAAGGCAAACAGAAACGTAAACTCTAAAGCTTTCTTTGTACATGTTTATACATGTATGCGTATGTACATATATATATTGTGCGTGTATACATGAAAAAAATATATATATATATGTGTGCGTATATATATATATATATATATATATATATATATATATATATGCAGATATATGCAGATGTATATATGTACATGTTTGAAAATGTATGTCTAATTACAAATATTTATATATAGATGTACATATACTTATTTCATTAAAGATACAAACGTTGGAAACGTCAACTGAAATAATTTTTTATTCTCTCATGTAAAGAGTTTGTTATACAGTTGACATTTCTAGTTGAATCTTAAATGAAATAAGCATCTACATATATGTGTATATGTACATACTTGCTAAAATATCGAAAGTAACATCAAGACGCAAGCCGTATTCAAATGTACAGATGTAAAATGTATTAAATTCCGGTCGCACGTAATACACTAATATTGATATTATTAAATAAAAGTGAGTGTTATAATCTTATAAGAAAATAAAACGCGATACAAGTAGGGGGAGAGGCTGGCAAAAATTGTCTAATTATGAATTCAGTGCGATAGTATTAAATCACTCGCAACAGTATTATTATATATCGTTGTATATGTGTGTATGTAATACAGGCCTATGTACCTTTATATAGCCAAGAATAAAACTCTGTGTGCGAACATATAATATAATATGATATAGCATATAACACATGGACGGCCATTGACCATTTATTCTTTTTAATGTTTTTGGAATCAAATTTAATTTATAGTTGAAACTTTCTTTGAATATCGAAAGTATTGTCTGTACCTACCTATTTAAGAGAGAAATATAAATATATATACATACATACATATATATATATATATATATATATATATAATATATATTCATTACTTTGTACAAAACTAAACTCGTATTTCAGTTTAAGAATTTCTGCTTCGAATCTTAATCATACCGGCTAAACGAGCAAAGAATAATTTTCGCCGAGAGAAAAAAAAAGACTAATTAATTATAGCGAGTGTAGCGATATTGAGAAATTTTTAATGACGGTAAGAAATTCCATTCGAATTGGATTAGACGCAAGTCTCTGTTAACAGATCAGATTGCAAACGTTCTACTCGAAAACGATTGTATTGCCGGTAGGGAGAACGTGTCTGATCGTTGTCCGTTAGCACTCGTGTCCTGTGAGGAATCAAATTCTCATATCGTCCCATCAACCAATCTTGACACAATCGATGTTGAATATCTGTGCCATTCTTGGATATCCATAACGAATGCCAATGATGGAATTTGGAATCCTTACGCTTTGTTATAGCTGGATGACACTGTCAAATCAAAATATTTCATAATTTTTTTCTTTTCTCTTTTAGTGCCATCGAAATATGAGATATAGCAAAAGAGGTGAGAATTAATGTCAGAACAAGATAGACTATATACAACATTTGATATAAAGATGCCAAGCAAAATTCAAATAATTATAAACATACCCGTCTAGCACGGTTCATGGAGTTTTGTTTGTAAAGAAATCTGTCCTTGTGGACAATGAAGAGCATAGTATAACTATTAGGATTAAATCTACATTGTGTTTCGTCGGAATTGATCATGTCTGGAGTATCGCTTGATCTACAACAAATTTATAATATTGTTACTTGATGATATGTACAAATAGAGTTAAATAGTTATAAATTTAAATAGTTATAAATTTATATAGCGAATTACATACCGACGTATCGAATGTACTTACTCTGCGACTTTATCCGGATGATTAGCATTAAGCAAAGATGTTTTCCCTCTCATTAATCTTGCGGCATGCTTTCGATATGATTTAATATTACGACAGAGAAATGTGGGTTTACGTCCTGCTGAGGACCTACCTGAGGAACCCCAAGTATTTCCGTCAATCTACAACAATCATGATATATCATTATTTATAAGAGTATTTTTGCAGCTGCAAACAACTGTATATATATATATATATATATATATATATATATATATAACCTTAAAGATATTATTTTTAAGTGATTTATAAAAAATTATCATAAAGTTCGAATTCTATATCCACACAACACGCTCGTGGATAAAACGGACTACTATAATCGATAAATGTGTGAAAATAATTTACAGTAAGGCGGAAAATCCGTTTTGTGTCCATCCAAAATGTACATATATCGAATCTTTTCTCATGTTTCAATATATTCAATATATTTATGGATGAAATAAATGTGAATAAACTGGCATATATTTCTTAAAAGTATAAAGTAAAAATTTAATTAACAAATAATCTTAAAGACATTAAACAAATTTTGAAAAATGCAACAAATGCGAATAGTACTTAGAAAAATAAATAAATTATACTACACACTCTCTCTCTCACTTTCATAATGAGAGAGATTAATAAAGACTAAACGCACGTGTTGAATGATAGGCTTGTTCCGATTATTAGAAATTTAATCTTATATTTATTGAATCGTGCAAACGAAAGAAAAAGGAAAAATAATACAAAAAGGAATCTATACGTATATACATATATACGTATAATTTTCAGCACTCTGATTACTGTTTCATTACATTTTCCTATTTCATATACCGATATATTATGTAATATTTGATAAAAAAAAATCAATCAAGAGGCTCTACTTTAAATATTGGTTATATCGCATGTAACATTAAAATTTTTATTATTGAAAAATATATAATGTGATAGACTTGAGATATCTTTATTTATTAATAGTTGCTTATTTTGTTGTATACGAGGGAATAAGTGAATGAACGAAGGATAGGAAAAGTGCAAGGGAAAGGAGAGAGGAAAACGGGGAGGGGGGAGGAAGAGAGAGAGAGAGAGACATGCGTGTAAATATAAAATTGATAAAAGTCATTCTGTTGTTTTAAACTTAGTAGTATTAATTGGTAGCTTTATCTATAAATTGAAAACAAAAGGAATTCCAACATGACGACTTCGTCGAAATAAGAAAACCAATGAGAGGACTATTATAATTTTCATTTTGAAAATTTTGATATTAGCAACGATATTAATGTAAATATATATACATGGTAGAAAAGAGATATATTACTCTCAATAATCGGCATTTATTACGTGACGTAATATTCGAAAACTCTACAAAAAAGAAAATAGAAGGAATAGATTAAATAATCTTTTAGTAACTTTTAATTTGTAATAAGATTAAGAAAAAGTTGAAGAGACAATCTTTAAGAGATTATCTTTAAATTTTCCAACTATAGCATTTTCATACCTTTTAGAAATAAAGTTTATACCAGACGTAAAAACTCCGGTATAAAGAAATAAATATTTTGAAGAAGTAATAAATTTTTAGTGGTGTATAAAAAAATGATGTTAGACAATAATATTTAAAATCGTACATGTATTTCAATATCTCTCTTCTATACAATATTATTATCTCTTACTATATGCATATTCCTTTTATATACACATACAATTACATACATATATATAAAACATATATAAGACACTGCCTTTTCATCAAATATGTATGTAATATGTGCGAGAAAGATAGGTTTCTCTCCCTCTCTCTTTCTCTCTATCCCGTGATATACCTATATACATACATACATACATACATACATACATACATACATACATACATACATACGTATGTGCGCGCATGTGTGTGTATATATATTAGGTGTTGGAATTAATTCGTAGCGTTTTTTAATGAAAGAATGTTATTTATTTCACATGAGCATTAAAAAATACATTAATGAAAGTACTTCCCATCACTTGTAAAACGCTACGAATTAATTCCAACACCTAATACGTGCGTCATGTCTTAAAGTCATGTATTGAAAACTTGAATAGTCGCAATAGCTATATTTCCGTCTTTTTGTCGTTTATTTGTTCTCATCATGGGCTAGTGTTTAGTCAGAGAAGAATAGGTATTGATAATAAATATCAATCGTAGGGAGGAGTGAACTCTATATTTGTTCGTAGGTGGGTAGGTGGGTGTGGCGCGCGCGCGCGCGCGTGCGCCTATAAATACTACAGGCGGGTGTGGGAAAATCGAAATTGCTGCGCATACGCCATTGGAGCAAGTGGTGTACATCGGCGCAGCAGCAGCCAGCAGGTTGCTGGACGCGATTGTCGCAAAGAACGGCGCAGTTGCCGCCTCGAGTTGCCTTTCTCCGTTTTCACTGTTATTCTCACATTAGGCTCGGACGAACGCCATTTTGAACTGCGAGCGGTTTATTATCGCGGACCAGTGCGGACGAGACAAGACGAGACGAGATGAGACAGACGAGAGGCTTCTCGTAAGTTAGTATCGATGATGAAAATTGGTGCTTTATTTTTTATAGTTGCACAGACAGAATTGAACGAATGCTAACGAAACGGAACTATTGATTGATGAACGCTGTGAACAAAAATGTGAATGACGACAGAAGAGAGAAAGGGAGGGGGGGGGGGGGGGGGGGGGGGGGGGGGGGGAATAGAAAAAGAAAAGTGTTAAGCTTTACTTTAAGCTTCACGACTGTCGTCACCTAATCGTCCAGATTCGCGTTCGCATGTAAGTATGATGTTAATCGTCAAAAGTGCTATCGCTCAAAAGCCTTTAAAAGATTGCAGTGAATTTTAATTATTCGCTTACCAAGTAGTATCGAATCGATTAAATTCTTGATGTGTGTGTGTGTGTGTGTGTGTGTGTGTGTGTGTGTGTGTGTGTGTATAAAATCTCTCAAATAACATGGTTTATCGTCTTTTATTATGAGAATGAAACAATGCGACGACGAAAATGAGTATAAAATAATGAAGCACTCGTTTACGAATTCTATTGTGCGAGTATATCATACATACGAATGTCGAATTTTGCACAAATTTTGTTCATGTATGTACATATACTATGGTGTGTGTGTGCGTGTGTGTGTGCGCGCGTGCTATACAGGTTTCGTTATTCACTGCAAGTACTGAAAATTTATAGCATGCACGTATACTATAGATTTACAGTAATAGCAGTGTATATATATCGAAATACGGCGATATTAATCGCGAAATTTATCATATTGTGCATTGCATTGTAACAAATGTATCTTTCTCTTCCTTGTATTATCGATAAAAACAGCAAATTATGATTGTATGATTGTTGATTTCACACTGATAAATACATAATGTGCGTTATTTCTCTTTTGTATATTTTACAAATAAAAAAATAATTCGGAATATGTGACTGCAGTCTTATATTTTTCGTATGACAGTTTTTTTTTGCCAATAAATAAGTGTTTGATTTACGAAATTTAGTTTGGAAATTTGGAGCAATAAATCTTGATTAACAATGTTTGTAAGTAGACAAATGTTTATATAAAGAGATTGCATGTCGATGTGTGTGATTGTAATGCACGCGTGCACGCAAATGCGAATGAGAAAAGGACAGAGGAAAAAAAAAGTTGGAGAATGTAATCCACTCAGGCCCGGTTCCACCTTTTGATAAATTTTACCTGTTGGGTAAGTAGCAAGATTACCCAATCACATGTGCGGATTGCCGGATTTACCTGATAGGTAAAATTTATCAAAAGATGGGACAACCGATCCTTAATGCTGCAAATGTTTCATTGATCAATCAATTAAAAAATGAATTACAAATTGACTTGTCAAGAAATGCATTTGATATATCAAGTGAATCGCACTCGAACTGTAATTGTGTTTTGTGTGTGTGTGTGTGTGTGTGTGTGTGTGTGTGTGTGTGTGTGTGTGTGTGTGCGTGTGCGCGCGCGCGCGCAAGCACGCGACAAGGGCAGCTTTCAATCAATTCTAAAAAATGAAAAACGAATTCGTAATCACGTTTGCGTATTGAATGTAATGATCTTAATGATTACATATACAGTGAGAGCAAAAAGTATTTGTATACAAGGAAATTATTTATAAAAAATCTTACTTGTGAAAAATAAATATTAATTAGCAATTTTATACAATGAATATATTCTGTTTTAACAAACGAACTTTGCATATATTCCTGATTTTAGAAGCTAATTTCTCGACTGTACGAATACTTTTTGAGCATCCAAACAATAGAATTTTTAATTTTCGCTTATTTTTCAGATGATATATTTTCTATAATTAATATACATCTTTTTTAGTATATATAATTTTAAGAAACATATCATCTATTTTATTATTTATGAATAAATTGTTAATTACCAACCAAGAAATGATCATCAATTAAACGTCGAATTGGTGTTAAATCATCGTATCGATTCGACATCAATTCGATGACTCATTTCTCGCTGGATAATATTTACTTTTTAAAAATTAAATTTTTTTAAAAAAATATTTTCTCTGTACGAATACTTTCTGCACTCACTGTATACATACATACAGCACTCGCACACGTGCGCACGCACGCACGCACACATGCGTGTGCGTATGTCAAAATGCATATAAAGTCTGTTTTTAATTCTGTGATTGCATTTACTAAATGTCTTTAATTTAAAAAAATAAATTTAAAAAAACGAAACTATATGCTATCTGTGCGAATTTCTTGTTGAAAAAAATGTATGTTTGTAATGTGTACAAAGATCATCATTAGAAAAAAATGTCACATTAATGTTGTCAACATAATAATTTCACATTGTACAAATTCGTTTAAGAACAAATAATATAAAATAAAAATAATTGGGAATAAAATTAGAAATCTAAAATGCACAGATTTTTAGATATCAATATCATAAAACAGATATCATATTAAAAGCGATAAATTATTGCAGAGTTTAAAACAAAAATTGAAAAATGTGAAACCTTTGGTAAAATGACAAATACTGCGGGATATTAATACTTCATACTGTCGCGTTTATCAAACATTATTACAGAATTGATGCAAAATTACAACTGACTTTCTATATACATCATATAATAATACAGTGCGTAGTATCTCCCTGCTTTACTATCTATATATCATTTATATGTACACGTAGCAAAGTATATTACGTATATACATGTGTTTGATGAAGGACGCAACAGTTGAGCTAAAAACACACTTAGCTCCACGCCACATAGTAGTCTTGTCATACCTCGTTGTCTCGTTAACTAAAACCAATGCATACTTGATTCATACAAAGGCATAGTGCATCGTACTACAGCTGATCCTGTAACATACTTTTGGGGTCTTGAAACGTAGCATGACACGCTGTGCCCTCGTATGGAGCAAATGCGCAAAACCCTTCTATGTTAGCGGTGTGGTTATGAGATCATTCTCTCGTGTAGAAAACAGTTTTGGATTATTCGCTTAGCAGATCGAATAGCCAAACGAGTGTACAAGCCATACAAGTTTCGATGTTTCTCCGACATATTCATATTTTTGTCTAAGATATTACATAGGAATTTTATTAACGCATCGCTCGTCGTTTCTCCCCATGCAAACATTTAACCGCCTATTTTTCAAAATTTCTTTCAAAATGAGTTAGAATTTCTTTTTTTTCCTCGAAAAACCAATACAAAATATGAACCGTGTAACCATGTTAGTCTTATTATATAATGGCGTGAAAATAATGTTGAATAAATCTATGAATGTGTATGCGTGCGTGCGTGCGTGCGTGCATGTGTGTGTGTGTGTGTGTGTGTGTGTGCGTGCGTGCGCGTGTGTGTGTGCGTGTGCGCGCGCGCGCGCATCCTTTTCAGATTTCACTACTGCATTTTTTAATACAATAGCAAGAATTCGTCAAATATAAAACTTAATCATCAACTATTTTTTTACTTATATAGCTATTTCATGTTGTACATTGTATACGCGTGAGCGTATCAAAATATATATACAAATTGGTTTTAAATTTACATATTTCAAAATCTAATTTTACCTTTTTATATATAAAACTAAATTGTGTGTGTGTGTGTGTGTGTGTGTGTGTGTGTGTGTGTGTGGTGTGTGTGTGTGTATCTAGTATAATAAGATATGAAGAAAATAATAGGAATTTTAAGAATTGACTAATATCAAATGTGTTACGATATAAATTAATATTTTACTTGTACATACGACATTATTCTCACTTATTAAATAGATAGATGCCTTTCTTTCAGATAATATATACATATTTTATATTTAAATAATTACATGCCTCAGAGAAAATAAGTTTCTTTGATCAAAAAAATAAGTACAAGTCTTAAAATATTGTCAAGAAAAATGATGTGTAGATTAAATAAAAATGACAGGAATTTATTTGTACAGTTTATATCGATCGTTATTAAGCAAAGTAATACGCATATTCAAGTAAAATGTAATTAGAAGATTTATATAAAAATTATATATATGAACACAAAATATACATAACATCTATTATGAAATACAATAAAATATTAGCTAAGATTTAGCTAAAAATATTTTATTTAAGTAAAAATATTTTTGTTATTCCTATAATTATATTTTCTCAATTTATTTAAAAATTTCAATTTACTTTAAAATCTGTTATACTGCTTTTTCAAATCGGTCTTTTCCGATATAGCGATGATAGAAAATTGAACTTGTATTTTCATTATTAAAAAAAATAATTTTACAATTATCCACATTGCATTAACTCAAAAGAATTATTTGAAGTAAGTCTTATATTTTTCTGCCCCCCCTCCTAAAAATAAAAAATTTTAATTACTAAAAAGAGAACGAACTTTTTACAATAAATAGAAATTATTTTTATTAAAATTTTCATTCACACTCATGAAATGCATATTGTTTTGTAACAACAAGCTATTTTTGATAATAAAACTCCAATATATATATTTGTGTGTGTATTATTTAATTAAATTTAGTTTTAACTTTTCGCAAAATATAAAAAAATACTTTATATATGTATATACGTGCATATGTCAAATAGTAGGTTAGAGAAATAAAGATGCAATATCGCGCGCGCACCCTCCCCCCCCCCACACACACACATACACAAGTAATACTAAATATATATATGTTTTTACGAAATATGTAACTAGTTAGAGGAAAGTACACATTCAATCTAAAAAAAGGCATCTAAATTGTTCATTTATAATTATTAGTTTACATTCATTATGGCACTGTTAGGATGACTTTGTAAAATTTATGCTAATTCTTTTTTTCTATTTTTAACAATTTTTACCATTATTTTACAACAATTGGTCATCATCATGTTATCTCACAACTGTATTGATTCTTTACAACACTCATCATTAAATGAATGTGTAACAATAAACAAAATAAATGTTATACAACATATGAAGTACATACACATGAAATTTTCTATATTCAATCCAGTTAGTTAACGTTATTATATTATATTAGATGTGAAGAAATTCATGTTTTAATATAAAATTTATTTTTTAACATGATGATAAATAAAGATTAAACAATTGCTTATTTACACAAAATTTATTTTCTCCGTCTATTTTAGAAAAATTGACTGCATATTTAAATATTACAAATATACAAAATATGTTTTTATTAAATATTAAAAATATTAAAGTAATAAATATTGCACAATTTCAATGTTATATAAATTAATTTGCGTTTTTCCTTGGTCTAACATAAAAAAGAAGATAAATTAAAAATAGAAAACTTTATAATTTATATATTATTTTTGTAACAATTACAATTAAGAAAAATTAATTAATTACAATTAAGGAAATTGTTTTTTGATCTTGTTTCTCTCATTGCTTCAATTAACTTTTATCACTCGTATCATCTTTTTAATATAAAATTAAATAAAAGACAAAATAAAATAAGGAAAACATAATATATACATTAAGAATATTAACAGTTTTTTGCAATATTTTGCATGTTGTCTCAATAACTTAAAGTATTTGAATTACAGGAAAACATTTGCATTTGTAGAAAAAAAGATGCGTCATAATATATCAGAAAATTTCATGTAATTTATAGTACCATACAGTTAATTTAAAACAAAGTTTAATAAATTTCTCTTATATATACATAAATTTCCAATTATTATAAAATGTATTAAGTACGTAGGGACTTATTTGTGCCATTTTGTATATGTATAAAGAAAAATATATATATATATATATATATATATATATGTATATTAGTTGCACCATTGAATAAATGTACAGAAGTTTGTTGACCGACACTGATGATACACGGAACTGTAATGGGTATCTTAATGATACGCATAAAGCGTAAATAATTCAGCAAAGTATAATCATCCTGTATCGTAGATTATTTCATAAAAATGATATATATGTATGTGCGTACAGTGTATGTGTGTGTGCGCGCGCGCACGCGTGCGTGCGTGCGTGCGCGCGTGTGAATGTGTGGTGCGCGCGCGCACAAACGCGTTTTCTATGTCAAGGAAATCTTGCACAAAGATCACTCCCCCCACAAAGGCGTCTAATTTATTTGACTTGTCCAATAAAGTCTTATACTTTTGGTAGAAGAAAGTTCCATTACTCTTTGGGGCATTCATCGTTGTACGTCAAATAAAAACGACAAAATACAAGCGTACAACGTTTAATCACAGTTGTCAATTACGCGAATGAACGTTAAGTTGAATGTTGGCAATGATTATGAAAAGGTATTTGGATCCTATACCTTTTTGCTAATGTCAGTGTTCTTGCGTTTTCTGCCCCTCCCCCCCCTTGCTGCCTGGTCGTTACTCACAGGATGATTGGTCGTCTGCTCATTCTCTGTTAAGGCAGGAGTGTCTTTTGGACTAGTTTGACCAGCTGGTGCAGAAAATCTCTCAACGTATGTTGACCATTTTTCAGAAACTGTAACGCCTTCCCTTTCTCTCTCTCTACAGCCATTATCCACTGTTTCGTCGCCTTCTGTATCTAACAACTCCATCGTCATTTTACAGTCCTTTTTATACTGAAATAAAAAATACAGCTTGAAAGTTTGCGACTAAAATCTAATTATATACAGTGTTCAATGAAGCACTTATTATTGACAACTATTCTAATTTCATTTACGACATAGTGTATTTTAATCATGATATATGACGTTCTTGAAATATTTTCTAAACTATTCGCACATTTTTATTTTTTATTTCATCGCGTGTTTGTGTAAGAAGAAAAATTGGTAAAGTCTAGTGAAAAACAATATTTTAGACATTCAGAAGAAAGTGTATTCAGAAGAAAGTAAAAGTGCGCCTACGTGATATAATTTGTCATTAATAATAATTGCTATTACCACTATTGCTATTACTGTAACTGTAAATAAATCAAATATTTTAAAAAAAGTTACTCACTATATATATCTTGAAACAGTTTTCATCTGCCATTGCTTTTTCTGCCTTGCGTTGATATGATAATTCAGCGCTTAATCTCATGTACGCTGTGGCGCATAGTCCGCCAGCTCCGCTATTTTCTTTAGGTTGACGTTGCTCCCTTTGGAATAAATCCATGCATTGTTGACAAACGGAATCTGAGACTAGGTGCTGCAACTGCCAGAAATATATAATTTCGCATGCCCGCTTTTTCTTCTTGTCATGATGTCATGAAAAAGAGAACAAAACAAAAATTTACTTACTTGCCTAACCGCATAATTAACGACCTTGTCGAGAGTAAAGGCAATGTATGCATGAATACCGAACATTTCTCGCAATGTATCTTCGTACGCTGTGCTTTCCATATTTCCGTCGAGGACATTTTTAACCATATCCAGAAAGGCAGGATAATAATCTTCAATTTCAATTTCACCTGTGTCAAATATACCGATGATAAGTGCGATTAATATACGACTCAATGCGTGATAATTAATTGCCAATGCAAATTGACAATTTAAAATATGGCAAATGGATTATTTACTTTTTGGTTTCAATCTTAAAGCGACCGCTGTACTTTCTCTGCGCTGCTGTTTATACTTGGATTCCTCTTCGGCAAGAGCAACCGCCCTGTCATACATTTTTGTTAATCTTTCACATAGTATATGATGTAACCTCAGGAAAAGGTACCAATTATTACTCCCCATAAAAAGCGTATACGCTTCCTCGGGATCACTCGAGAGAGCGTGCATTGGTACTTTTACGTCGGGTTCACTTTTGATAGGAGCGGAAGATGTACTCGGCGACGCGGGAGCCTTACTCCTATTAGCTTGTAATCCACTCAATAATGAAGTATTTGTTGTGGATTGTAAATGGTTTGCCATGTTTGCATTGTCCTTCTCATCTGTAATGAAATAAAATTCGAGCATGTATTCGAAAATATATTTCTCTTCACGAGATAACAGTTATGAGATAAAAAAAAGAATCTACCGTCTTCGTCCCTTTCGTCATCGCTAAGTTCTTGTCGAGGATGGAAGAAAAGATCAGGTATAAAATGTTTTAACAAAAGCTTTATCCGTTGTTTGTCTTCTTTATGGACAGCGGTTTGCCGTTTAACGTGATGGATCAAGAGATTGGCAGCATCGTCCAATACAGACTTGTCTTTGTACGATAGAATGAGATGTGGACCACTGTTCCCTTGACCGTCGCCATTACCGTCGTCACCCTGTTCGTGCCTCTGTACGATATGCCAAAACACGTTAAATAATTGCAAAACGAAAAAAGGAAAAGGAAAAAGGATAAAAAGGGAAAGACAGAGAAACCGCAGAAAAGCGAGATGGAAATTGAAGTTAAAACACGTATATACCAACCTCGTCGTATAATGTTTCGATTTCATTGAACAGACTTTTAGATCTCAACGCTTTTACATCATTCTGTTTGAAATTAATTCCCTGATGATCTAAAGATTTCAAGTAGTACTTCTCGTTTTGTTCTCTCCAGATTTTATTGAATCCCTTTTGCGCTTCCCGCCATTCCTCCTCCTTAGCCTTTAGTCGGCGGAGTACAACGGGCACAGCCACTATAGGATTTCTTTTAAGACCCTCTATGATGTCGGAAGCTTTATCACCGTATATTCTTTTTATTGCTCGTTGATGAATCGTAGAGGAACAACCGCCCATGCACTCGTCGAGTTTATATTTTTGTACCTCCTCTTGAGTCATCCGGTTCATTTTTTTATGAACGCCCTCGAGCACTCTAATTGTCGATGCGTTAGTTTCTATAACGACATCCAATTCAAAACGTTCATCCTCGCATCGGTATATGGATTCTTCGTATTGCGTTTTCCTAGGCAAACCAATGCGCACATATCTCATAATTGAAATAAATATTTCAGTTATTTTTACAATATTAATAATATTATCAACAAATAAATAACATTATGCATGTAATAGATAATTTTAAAAGCAAATGATAGAAAAAAGAAAAGAATAGTATAAGGAAGACGACAAAGAAATTAGAAAAGTGTTTCTGACATGGGCAGGTGCATAAATAAAAGTGATCAATTACCTTGATGTTACAAATGTACTGTCTTCTGACCAAGTTGGAAATGAAACCCAGGTATCGTTGAGGACTTCCTTACACAATTGCGTTCTGCCACTACATTTTGGCTGAATGTACGATTTTGGTAATGCGCAATACGATGCCCCCAATCGCTTGCACGCTGTATAATCAATTTCTATCGCTAAGTCACCTTGCGGCCGTTCTTGATGGCTGCGTACAATGCTGTTTGGGAAAGTTTCTATTCCGATGGCGTTTCCTGCATTTGTCACCGTAGTGCTCGATGAATCGATTAAGTAACCCAGAAAATCTTTAAACCAACGTAATAATTCAGGGAAACGACCGAGAAATGGTGTCACTAGCTGAATAAGCTCCGATTTCGATATTATTTCTTGATTGAAAAGCACAAGGCACCGAAGAAAATTTTCGTAGACATCTTGCGATCTGAGCGCTTTTCGAACCTAAGGTAACATAATATTTATTTAAGAAAACTTGTTTGTTGTACGAAAGTATGTAACGTAGTTATAATGAAGAAATTATAAATAATAATACACTTAATGCTCACCTTATCAAAGAAAGCATAATCGTTTAAGGTACCGTATTTACCAGCTTCTGCGATAGAAATATCACGCATCGAAGCCACTTTATGCTTTTTCGAGGGTGGTGGACCATGTTGTATATGATGAGAATTTCCTGCAGTCGCTGAAGTCGAGAATGACGGACTTCTTTTCAATTGTCCTGTACTGTGTCCGCATTTCTGGCCACTATTCATATCTCTTATGTTCGATCTATCTCGCTCCCGTTCTCGTTCTCTGTGTTCTCGATTGTCGCGTTCCAATCCAACCGTACTGCTACCTTCTCGAAGATCTCTCGATATAGTACCAGAATTATTGTAAGGTGTCTTAAGTCCAATTGGTTTCTTGACAATTGCCGTATGATCGTTAACTGATGTCGTCTTATTAGTCTGAAACATGGCAAGAGACTAATAGGAATCAAAATTGGTTAGTTTATTGGACGAAAAAAAAAGCTTTGTCATCGACAGAAGAAATGTGAGCAAAAAGGAGAGAGGAAAAAAGAAAAATTATGATAATCCCTTCTTTTTTTATCTTGTGTTTAAATATATGAGGATCAAGAAAATATATGTAATAGCAGATGTTCGTGTTTAAAACGCGATATTACACAACAGACTCGTAATGGAAGAATATGATTTATAAACATCATTTTCTCACATTTGCGCTCCCTCTTCTTCTTGCACATATATACGTTTCGCTACCAGTTTAGAAAAACAAGAAACAATATATTTTCATATGTATGTTTGTAAGAAACATACAGGTTTCTTTAAAAGTCTTTCTCTGTCTGTCTGTGTGCGTGTGCGTGTGTGTGTGTGCGTGCGTACGACCGTACTACCTTAGATCAATTTTTTAGTGCATAATTGCAATTCTTCATTTAAAATTTCAATTTCGTCGAGAATTCTATCGTTTTATCGTAATAAGCACCGACTCACCAATGAGTTTTGCTGATTGGTAGCATCCGGCAAAAATTGTCCAAATTCAGCAAGCAGATCTTCTTGATTTTCAAATAATTTAGCAACTTGACTATAAACTTCCGCCTCCGTCAAGTGTTTCGTTCCACCTGTCGCACCGGAACTTGTACCTCCCATATGACCAGATTCTTTTAAATTTCGCTGTTCTTTCTGATACGTATGCAATATTTCCAAAAAGCGTTTGTATTTGTCTGGTTGACCTTGGAATCGATTCTAAAAATAACATAATTTTGTACACTTTACATATGCTTGATTATTTTCCATATCTCATATCATTCCTTCTTTCTTTGTTAATAATCTTACCTTTATTTTATTGACATAGTTTATCGCATGGTTAAATTCAACCGGCTGACTTTGTTGAGTTTGTCCACCAGTCGACACACCATCTGCTTGATTTAAAGCCTGACTGACAGCTTGCGCTTGTGCAGTACTAACGTGCGAATTATTATACACTGATACTGGCGGCGGTGAAGGCGCGTGAACAGTTAAGCTATTAGTTGTAATACTGTTTGCCAACGTATGGTGTATATTACCCGACCTGAGGACAATCAATGTAGCAATAGACATTGCATTTTCTTTTTTCATAATTTGTAATAATAGCGGACTTAGCGGAATACTTACCCTGGCATTATTTGCAAAACGGGAGGTGCTTTTGCAGGTTGCGTGGGTGGACTAGCTACTGGAGGTGAACCAACATTCACCGTACAATGATGCTGCGACAATGTGGCGGTATGTGTTGCTGTTGGACTGGGCATACTGACGGATACTTGAAAAGCATATCCTTGTTCGTTTGCTTGTACTTCTATCTTGTAGCCGGGTGGGAGAAACGTATTGAAACCAACGATGAGTTCGGGATGTCCTTTGAAGAGATGACTCACTCGCGTTATAACGCCCGGAGTATCTATACTTTGAGATTTGAATTCTTTCATAATATCTAAGAAGTCATTGTATACCTACAAATAAAAAATTTTGTGTCAATGTGATGAAAAATACCAATAAATTAGTCAATAAACTAATAATACACACACACACACACTTTCACGTTTGAATTCTTATTTAATTCATATTTAATATATTTAATTCTTTGTCGCTCACCTGTGGTTGATCACTAAATTTATATTTTACTTGATCCAGATAAGATAAAGCATCTTCTACTTTTAATCTCTGGAATTGTTGAGATCCACTTCCTCCTCCCAGATTAGAGCCGGGTGGAGTGGAAGCCAAAGGTGTTACATTACCAGAATGTACCTATAGTAACGATAGCTCTTATTTACAAACTTGTGACGATTGTCTAAGCGCACAATAGGCGTTAATGTTTGTATTTTGTACTCTTGTTCGCGCATGCATACATGTGTTGTACGTGTCTGTGTGATACATAAAAGAAAAAAAGTAGATGATGCACCTTATGCCTTATTGTCGATTGCTGTTGCGCATGGACTTGATTTTGTGATCCTGATGTAGGTTGTTGGGAAGTCATTGTGTGACTATTACCACCACCTATTCCACTATGCAAACCACCACCAGTATTTATGTTGCTACTACTACACGTGGAACCAAGTCCTCCCGCGGAGCCACTCGCCTGCTGCATATATAACATTTATTAAGTATTATTATTCACCTTCATCATCATCATCACACTTGCAGATACATATGGAATCGCAATAGGAATTTACCTTGATAGGAGATGGTGCTGCGGTTGGTACAACAATCGCTCCAGTGTATTGTTGTTGAGCTTGGGCAGTGCCAAACTGTATACTTCCTGGCATTTCTTTTGACGCAACAGACCGAACTGCTTGACCAGGTACAACAACACCTATTCCACTGCCAGAGTGGTAATCTAAACTACCTCCTCCACCACCTAAGCCACTTGCTGCACTCACTGATGAGTGCTTTGTTGGTGTTGATGGTATGTCGTCCAGTCCGCGAACACGTTTCATTGCAAATCACATTGGAGCTGCTGAAAAGAAAATAATTCCAAAAGAGGTTTATTTCTTCTCCGTTTTGCAATTTAACTTACAAATCACTATCGAGAGCATTACATTCTTAATAAATAGTTCAGGCATAGTTTATTTATAATAAGAATTTACGTGACATATGGTAAATTTTCTGTGAGATGATAGATTTTCTGAAATTTTGTGAAATTAGATTACTTCAGAATTTGAAAATGACAAGGTGTAATATAATGTAGAGATTAACAAAAATGATAATGATAAGTAACATAAAAAATATATATATACAACACACATATATGTATATGCACGCACATAAAATATACAGGTTTGTTCTGCACACATGATGCACATGATATATCATTTTATCCTTGTTTAATATTCTGTAAACAACAAGAATAAAATGCCTAATGCACATCATACATGCAACGAAACCCAGTCATACATATTTGTATATCCTGTGTACACACACACACACACACACAATTTGCATATTATTTGCATTTTGTATATATACAGTAATGTATTGTTAATATCACTTATACATCAAAGCTTGTCGATTTCAAGACAATCCTGAAAAGTTTAAAGCTAATGATTATGTTTAGAAAAGGTTAATTTAGATTCAAATTTATATCTCTCACAAATCACACGATTAATTTTGTGAATTATAAATAAACAAAGAGATATCTCCGAGTATTGAATATTGATTTAAAATACATTTGTATTCATGTAAATATAGGATATAAACAGTATATTACACATTAGTAATTTTCAAAACACATACTTCAACTATAGGCATATATAAGGTCTGTTTTCTGTGACTGAACTAGTGTACACTTTTAGAACTTAAAGTAAGATAGATATACGTACTTAATATTTGTCTATAGCGCGAAAGAGAGTTCTAGAACAGTCTAGTGCAGGAATGGAAAATAGATCAATAGTCATATAGACTGTATTCCAAAATTTACTGCCAGTACTAAAAATCTGTAATTTACATTACATGTATGTACTATAGATTTTGAGTACTGGCAATAAATTTTGGAACAGTCATCGGCATGTATGTCTTGTGTTTAACGTTAAAATATTTTATCAGGAAAAAAATATGGTAAAATCATATGGTGAAAGTCTATTGAAATTCTTTATAACAGTTTACAAATTTTCAAATAAATAAATTTGCAATTAAAGAATGTTCTGCACGAATCTCGAAAGGTTTAGGAAAATACAACATGTGAAACTACGTAAAGTTAGGTTATAAGATCTGGAAGATCTTGATGTTCTTTAGGATCTCTACTCCATAATTTCATTTTCAATTTCATAATCATTTGAAGTTAATTCGACGAGCAAAATGAAGGTACATACATTTTTTATCGTAACAGTTTGAAATTCGGCGACGTAAATGGTAATATTTTACAATGAAACTTTATCGCATATCAGAGAGACGCGCGAGACACAAGCGCGTTACAAAAATAAGGCCCGGTTGCACCAACGTTACTTTAATTTTAAACAAAGCTTAAAACTCTCTTTGTCCTACCTCTTTTTGATTTTAAAACGAGATAGAGAGAGTTTTAAGTATCGCTTAAAATCAAAGTAACGTTGGTGCAACCGGGCCTAAGTTACAAACTCGTGCTAGCTACGTGTGTGTGTGTGTGTGTGTGTGTGTGTATGTGTGTGTGTGAGAGAGAGAGAGAGAGAGAGAGAGAGAGAAAGTGAAAGAGGGGAGGGGAGGGGAAGATTGGGGGGGAGACCCGATCGAGCTCCATTGCAGAATTGTCGACGCGGTGCCGCGTATATGTAGAAAAGTCGCATCGAATGCATGAGGAAAATGATGAACGAGTAGATAAACGTTTCGAACATTGCAGTGGATGTCTTTCTTTTACGTACCAATTTCCATTTGAAAAAAAAAACACGTTCCGCGTTCCTATCTCCTACGTAGATTTTCTCGTACAAGTACGACGAAGGATACGAGCGGTGACGATGACGTCGAGATCGAGATACGTCTCTCGGTTGTCGTCGTGAATAGTGCACTGTCGCCAACTCTTCTCTGGCTCCCCAAAACTTTCGATCG